TTACAAATAACGATGTCACTATTAAATATAAAAGTAATTTATGAGGTACAATGACTTCCTGGAATGAATACTTTTCTGATATATTTTGAATAAGCTGTCCTTTATGTAAATCAGTCTTTTATTTCCTTTCACTATGTTGTATTATATTACACTTTACAGAGTCATGTATTTATATATTTTGGTTATCTGTATTTGAATATTTTTGTATTTTGCTTTTTATTTGCATTATGTTAGGATTTTGTCTTATATTACCTAAACCATTAGAGTACAAAAAGAATCACAATTTACAAAAGGATTATATTATGTATTATATTTCAGTATAACATATAGTATATACATATGTAGTCAATATTGGCTTTATTATTAATTACATAAGTATAACAAAAAGTCTGTAGTCTAATGATTAAAAAACATAATCCTTATCAATGCATTTAATTCAGTAGTGAATATTAATTATATAGATTGAACATTATGCAGTGGAAATTTCAGATCAAAATTGGTGTCAGGCTATGCATTTATTGATCTGCTCATATAAATAGACTATTAGGTTTTTATTGAGGTTGGTTACATTTTTAAAGCAAATAGGGTATGAGAAAATAAAAATTCAGAGAGACAAGATGATAAAGTTTAAATAAGTTTGTTTCCCTTCAGAAATACACACAGAACTGAATAAAGAATTCAATACCATCCCATAATTATTAACATTTCCATTAACTGGAGATATTCAAAATTTTATTAAAATTAATCATAAATTTTCTTTACACATTTACAGGTGTTACAAAATGAAAAAAAATGTCAATGACACCATTAAACTTTCCTTACAATTGAACATTATATCATCGATATTGAAATCTTCAATGCATATGAACAAATTAAGAAACTGAGTTAGACTGTTTGTTAATTATAACTAAATTCAACAGTTAATATTATTTAATGCTGCTAATTTGAATTAAAACAGAAAATCCATTAACTAGTATTTCTATTTTTAACAGTCATAAATTCAAACAATTTATTGATATGACAAATGTTTTACTAATACTTTTGAGTAATTTGTACTTGATATTTGATTAAGACATGATCATAAAGCATCATTCTCCAGTTTTAAATATTGTTCAGTTTTAAAAAGAAACAAAGTGGACTAAGGAAAAAAATGTCCTCACATTGATTTTATGATTAGATTATTTTCAAGGTTAGTAACTTAATAAAGGTTAAATAGTAAGTCTTCAAATATAGTCATGATGTAAAATCAAAATTACTGCTTGTAAATTGAGAAGGAGGAGCATAAATGTTAAATTTGAGATGGAAAGCATCCTAGTGAAAGTATTTTCCTCCAAAAAAATGATTGTCAGTGCCCTGTTAATAATTTCGAATTAAGTTCTTTAACTCTTTGTGAAGTCTTCTTTCAGAAAGGAAATTATAAACCAAACAAATTCTAGGCGAATTTTCAAATAAAAATAATTCTCATGATAAAGAACAAAATCTTTGGTTAAGTAAGAAATTGTCCTTTTATTAAGCGAGACAAAATTGTGAACGAAAGAGGACATTGAGATTCATATGCTGGAATTTGTTTTCAAGACAAAAACAAAAATAAAATATAAGGTCTTCTTTTGATTGTCAATCTGAAGGAAAATTGTGAAAGTGATAATTAGTGAAGCACTAACAATGTAGTAGAGGCAGAGGAATAATAAATTAAGAAGAATTTAACTTTTGTAGATAGCTGCTAATGGTAAAATTACTAGGTTAAAGAGTTTTCAAAACAGACCTTCTTGCTAAGGTGGTGAGCAGATCAAGTGAAATAGAAGAGATACAATGAAACAACAAAAGGATGTAGAAAATTTTAAATTATCTTTAATTCAATATCTGTCCACATAACCCTGCAGAAGATACAATCACTTTGGGAAAATTAAGAACTACCAAATCCATAAATGAATAAAAGTATTCATTTTATATAATTACAGAAGGATGCCAGGTCAGAAAACATATTGGCAAGCATGTATACATAGTGTGTACAGAAATAAGCAACATAGTGGCTCCTACATATTATTCTTCTGAAACAATTCTGACTGAAACTAGCTGAGCATATGTGGCAGACATTAGTCATTTATAAAAATACATAACCAATATAATGTTCATTAGGTCAAAATATTCATTCATTAAACAAAACACTGTGCAGTATCTTAGAGGAAAATATACAATACACCAACAGTTGCAACTATTAAACAAAATAGCATGTAGTAGATCACCTAAAGATGATTGAATTCACATCTAAGAGTTATCAGATATTAAAAGCTCTAAGTTGGAATCAAAGCAGACATTATCATCACAACACTTAGGTAGCTAAACAACAAAAGCTCAACGACATAAGGCTCAATTACCTAAATTTTTACTGAGATCTTGTATAAGTTTAGTTAAACTAAGACATTTTTTTGTTTTGAGAGCAAACTGGTGAGAAATTAGTAATAACTGAGTCTCTTTTGTTTTGAGAATTTTCAAATACTTCATTTTGGATTTAGTTTTGAAGCAAAACTTGTTATCTCAAAATTTTCCAGTTTATAATGATATTATGCTAATAGTATTTCAACCAAAATCATGGCAAAAAATTAAGTAAATGTCTAAGAGATTTATCATTATTTTATAAACAGAATCAAAAATACCAACACTTTTAATGAAAGCTTTGAATTCAGTAAGGATAGTTAAAGAAAACAAATCATATTCTTACTTTCACTCTTTAATAAGTATAATTATCAATATCATTTTTTTTTTATTAGAAGCTTGATTAATTTTGTTTTCTTTTTTTCAATTATTTCCTTAGATTCTGAATAAAAATGCCCTCATCTGCATATTATAGGTGGAATTTAATTTTTTTTTATATGACAGAAGCAAATATAACTTTAATGCTACAGTTAAATTGAAAAGATTAATATGCTGATTTTAAATTATGATTTTTTATTAGTTGATAAGGATTGAATAGAAATAAAAGACTGAAAATTCTCTGGGTGATTGTTGTCAGTTGTTAAATGGTGACAATCAAATGATTACAAAAGCAATAAAATCAGAAGTTAAATGCAATAATTATAATATAATAGTAGCAGGTGCAAAAGAGCTATTGGAGCAACTAGTTAAGACTTACAAAATGTAAAATTATTAAAAGGTCAATCTACATTATTTTAAAGAAAAAGATAAAAAATAATAAAAGAAAGTAATAAATAATCTACTAATCACACTATTTAGATTTTAATAAAAAAATTTCAAGCTCCACCAATTTAAACAATATAGTCAAGGGAGTGTTGAAAAGTTATCATCCCAACCCACTTCCTCAAAATCAGTATTTCACCAGAATACTGATTTGGGGGAAGTGGGTCAGGCCAAGAACTTTTCAGTACACCCTTATACATTTAGTTTTTTTTTTTTTTTTTTTTTTTTCAAAGTAACCTGATTTGTAAGAAGTCAGTGATTTTTATGACTCACAGCTGCATTATACGAGACTATGCACATGGTCTGAATGAATAAAATTATTCTCTTGAAAATAAGTGCATAAAATGATGATAAAACTATAAAATATTAACAATAAAGAAAAATGAGCCAAATTAAGAATAACAAGTTTGAATTTAATGTATTTTCAAATGACTCCAATACAAAAGTATGCATAAATACATTACAAGTGACCTAATATGAAGTTTAGTCTTCTTCATTTTGGGAACAGTGTATCTTTATACAACTTCTGAGGGACAAATTATAGAAAGAACATCTTTATACATTTCAGTCTTTCATGAAAAGTTAAAAAACTGAAAACAAAATAAAAAAACTACTTGCCTTTTTATCTGCTTTACTAAGACTTTAAAGAATGGCTATTAAAAATTTATCATCCTCTGAGGGATATTCTGTTTTAGATGGGAGTTGATTTTGTGGCAAATATTTGCAAACTCATCCACTTGATGCTAGCCCTCAAGTCTGGGTGGGCAAGTACAGTAAAATGCTAGCACAGCTTATCCTAAAGAATCAAACTTAGCAACCTTCTCTTAAGATTAAAGCAGAAAAAAGAGAAGGAAAAGGAAAGAAAGATTAAATAAAACAGATAACATGGAATCCAAGTATTTTGTATTCCCAAGTGACAAACTATATGCTGTTATTCAATTTCCAGTTACTTTTGTCTATCTATATTTTTAATTTTTAATTTAAACAAATAATTTGCTCTTTTCTGCCTAAGGACAATTTTTTTTTTGCAATATGTAATCCCTTAAAAAAATTGTGTTGTTGGTATTATTATTATTACTACTAAATGATGAAAATTATTGTTGTCATTATTCTTAAATGAAAAAATCTTTAAAAGATATTTTAAATTCTATGTATACATATTTCAAGAAGTAATTTACCTTTTTTACAATAAGGTGATAAAGGCATTTTATTTTTGAGAAATTAAGTTTTTCACATCTATATTTACAATATGAAAATGAAGCCTTTTCCAAAATATATCAGCTCTTTCATAGAAAAGTGAATACCCAATTATTTTTTGAAAAATAATTTTGTTATTCACTTTTAAATTTTTTAGGTAAATTCAAAACAATTTTTTCTGATAATATTGGTGCAGCATTGTTTTTCATTATGATTCAAAAAGTTAGATAAAAATGGTAAATGTGCAAATAGTCAAACTGTCTCTAATTACTATAACCAAATGGTGCCAGAGATCCATGAAATTATTTAAAGTGTAATCAAGAAATAACTGAAAATAAGTGTTTTAATCTTCAATTTACTTATTGAAATCTGGTAATCCTATTTAATACTGCAAAAATATTGAGAATTTGTTTTGGTTGCCATAATTTAGAAAAAAATAAATTGGTTAAGTTTTACAACTGAGAGATTTTTCTTCATAAAAAGGAAGTTTTTCAGGTGATAATTATAACATTTAAACTCAATGAAAGTTATGAATGCAAAGATGTAGAAATAAATATAGAGTTTAACATAAACAAAAATGAAAACAAAAAAAACAAAAACAAACTTACCTGTACTCCAGGCCACAGACTGAAGTCATCCCTCTGGTGACGTTCGGTCATGTTCAGGCCAGGATAACAGTCAGGACTAGAAAGAGATAAAGACCAATTATAGGGAATACTGCAGAACAAGTAAATATATTTTTTTTAAATACAGTATAATATAAGGATTCCAATAACAATTATATTTATAATTTCCAAAAGTTTCCAATGTATATAAAGTCACAAGAGTAAACAACTGTGAGCATTTTTCTTATGAGTTTTTTTTGAATTTGCTAAATTCACTAAGAAATTAATAAGATTTTGAGGAAAGACAAATACTCAAAAAACAAAACAAAAAAACTGATATTTTGAAGTGATATTTTGAAAAAACTTATTTTTAGCTTTATATTCAGTCTAGTTTTCAAATAAAATCTTTACCTACATGTAATATATTTATTAATATAACTATATTAATAATTGCAACAATATTATACCTATTCATATTTTGATAAATCATGCTGTATAAAGATTTTATTTGAAAACTAGACTGAATATAAAGCTAAAAATAAGTTTTTACCAGAAATTTATGCACATACCTAGTAATATTCCACAAATTAAAACCATATCTATTTTTTTATCATTTTCTGTGTTATTAGTAAAGAAACTGAAAGTTATATGAATACAATATTTAGAACTGCTTGCTGATCATTAACTATTCCAAAAGGTTTTTTATATTGTATGATCAAAGATTTGTAACTATTAATAAAATAACTGTTCATGTTTACTTTAATATTTTCCTTTCAAATTCATCAAGTAGAAAGATTTTGCATTTTACCCTTGAATAGCAATATGTTTAAAATTATGTTACAATATTATTGAATTATTGACTTAAAATTTGGTCATATTTACCACTGATTATGCAATACTTCATAAAAGAAAATGAAAATTTATAGTTGATAGTATTTTTTTGTAAAATTCCTTAGACATTTGAGGATCAGTGATTAATATTTTCTTATAAGATAAAGTTAAAAATGCAGTTAGCTTTTTTCACATTACTGATTATCATACTGAGGTTTTAAATAGCAAAAATGTACAAATAAGAAATATAAAAAATTTCTTTTAAGTGAGTTTTAAGTATATCAATGAAACTGTTGAATAAAGTAAATAAAAGTCCAGTAAGGAGAGAGTAATCTTATCTTTTATGTGAATATATATTCTATATTTTAGTGTCTTCTTTTATAAATATATAACTTTGTTTATTTTTGTGATTCCAAAGACAAATTTCTGAGACCCTACAGTCAGGTATACAATAATAATAGATAAGAGAAAAAATACATTTAAGTTAATAAACCAGTGTTACTAATACCTACTCAGTAACTGGATAATTCTAACTTTTTAAACAATCTTATATTGAGATTTATTAAATATGAATAGGAAAAAGAATGTGCCAAAATGTATACACTTTCAACAGGTATTATTTTTTTATTTACTTAAATTACACTAAATATGGCACAAGACCATGTTTGAATAGTATATAATCAAGACTGTACTCACTATCAATGGTTTGCAAGATTAGAATGCTAGCTACAATTAAAACTATTTAAGTATTTTTTTATGGAGAGCAGGTAATTAATTCAGAAAATCTTCTTTGTACTTGTATACACACAATGGTTCACTGAATTCCAAGAAAAATACTCAGAAACTATGGCATGTATACAGGAAGTGAAAGAACCCCATATAAATTCTAAATTATGAGTATCTTGCAATGGAAAAATTTAGAATGCTACCAAAACTGTTTGATAGTTATAGAAAGCAAATAGAAAATGTAAATAGGGCAATTATTCTAAACAAAAGTTTCTATTCTTATAAAAAATTGAAAATTGTAAAATGAAATATTGTCAAATAAAAAAATTAAGATGGAAAAGATGTTGATATTTGTTGAAGAAACAAGAAATATGAAGCCTCTTAAATATTGAGGCTAAAAGTAAATCATTGCAAGTAAAATATGACAGGCTTTATTCCCACTGAAAGACTGCAAGCAAGTTTTGTCTGAGAATGAAAAAGATGAAGTATTTTCCAAAGGGCAGGAAATAGATTATGATTAATTTTGTAATATTATCATGCCAGACAGTAGTGACTGTTTGTACTATTGACAAGGTGATGAGTGCAGTGCAGTTGTATAGAGTCAGTGAGTAGAATTAATGACTGTTGACAAGCAGTGGTTTGTTGTTACATCCTGCAACACTGATTAACTATTTGAATAAATGCAAGTAGCTATTGAACACATGCAGATCATGTTAACAAATTTGGTCAGTGATCTCAGTATTTTTTTAACACCAAAATTATATTCCCCTTTTCAAATGTACTTTTTAAAACAGACTTCAAATGCTTGACTCACTGTGGTTTCTCACCCATTAGAGAAAATGAAATAAAGAAACGGAAAAAATTACAATGAAGGAGCTAAACATTTGAAATATTCACTGTTGTTTTATTTGTGAATATATGAAAACAGTATTAGAAATTGTAATTACAGGAAATTTTTTAAAATGATATATTTGCTGTTGTATTTATTTTATAATGAAATAATTTTCAAACAAATAGTAAATAAACATTTTATTTACTCTTTAAATTAATAAAGATGTAAACTCATTTCCTAATATCAAATAACTTTTATATACAAAAAATAAATTGGATTCTTGATTTTTATACTAACTTAAACGGCTTGCAAACAGAATCATTCTGAGATTAGAATATAAAAGAATAGTGATAAATGAAATAAAAAGTTTATATATTTAAAAAAATTGCTAAAGATAATATATCAAAAGTTAAGCTAATTACAAGAATTTGCCACCATTTACAATAAGGGATAATTTTTAAACAAATAATAGAATGATTAAATTAAGCAAATAATTTTTGTAACAACCTCTCTCTCATTTTATATATATATATATATATATATATATATATATATATATATATATATATATATATATATATATGTGTGTGTGTATATATATATGTGTGTGTGTGTGTGTGTGTGTGTGTGTGTGTGTGTGTGTGTGTGTGTGTGTGTGTATATAAATTAAAACAAAATTAAACACTTTCAAAGCATGGACAAAACTAATTAGAACATTAAGTTTGTTATTTTGAACTTTAGAAATAAAGCATACATAAATTGATTGATACACTTGATTTCAAACATGATCTGAAATCAATGTGTTGATCAATTTAAACAGTAATTTCAAACAATTCGGAAGGGGTTACATTAGAATATTGTATTATTTTAGCAGTAAGTAATTTCAAATAATTCTTTTATATGCATATTTTTTTAAATTAAAGAATTAATGACATTAACATTTCACTATGAAGTTAGTAAAAAAATTCTTAGAAATGTTTTTTAAACTTTTTGTTTTTTATTTTTGAAAGCAAATCACAATAAGACATAGTATGGGTATAGTTATTTATTTTTGGCATTAAAAGAAATGGTTAAAAATAGACACACATACACACACTATTTACACTTACAAAAATTGCTTAGTTAGGCAGAAATCATGAAAACTGCTCATTTTGCCATTAAGTCGAATAATAAATTTTGACAGGGAATAAGTTGGATAGTAAGTAGTGAGCAGAATTGTTTCCCAAAAAGGACCTTTTGCATGTTCATGTTTTGCAAACTCAGTCCTCTTGTAAACACAATTCTACTGATGGGGACAACATGGAGGATACAATGTCTGGTGAGGGACCAATTATTATAATTGTTTGTCACCCAATTTATATCTGAACACTTGACAGGTTGGTGCATACTGCTTTATGTAATCCTCAAGTAAAAGTTTGAGAGGTGGTAGGTATTTACACAAAAGCAGTTGATGAGGACAGACCAAAAACAGGAGAGTCTGATTTAGGAGGATTAATACTAGTTTACAGAACATAACCCTGTTAATAATACCAGTCATACTGGTTTCGTATTTTCTCATTGATGAATAATTTAGCATAAAATGCAAAGTTCATAAATGAATGAGTTTTAACAAAACTTTTCTATCATGATAGAGAGTAAAATCTGCTGTATGGGATACAGAATTCCCAAAAATGCAACAGTAAAAGTTTTATTAATCATTATTATGTGTATAAAATCAAACCACAGTAACAAAAACAGGAAAAAATTAGTGGTTAGATTAAATAAATAAATAACATATGAGAAAGTAAAGGGAAAATTAAGTGTCTAATATAGATGTTTAACATGCATTAATATTAATATTTTTTTAATCTTTAAAATGAAACCTGTAATTTATATCATAATCAATGCTTTATCTGTGACAGCTGATAGATTAACTTGTGCTGAATATAATGGGATGCTGAGAATTTCTTGACCTAACCAAGAAACCCTTAAAAATTAACTGTTTGGTCATTTGGTCAGATTTGGGGAAATGTGTTGGACCAATAAATTTGAATAACTTTTTAAATATATTTAATTTCAGTATTTAATACCAAAAGCAAATGTTTATATTTTTATCATATTTTATATTATTTTCATTTTGTTGAAATTGGTTAAAATTCAAATTTTACTTTTTTTTGCACTTAATTTTTTTTATTAAAAAACAGAACAAAACAGAATAACTGTTCATATGCACAGCTTAAAATAGTATCAGTGTTAATTATAGTAGTCATATAAGATTTGTCTAATCAAAAGTTTTGTTTATGCAAAATAAACTTTTTTTTATTTCAAATCTTTTATCCACAGTCAGTAATTGAAAGGAGGCAAATCAAAAAGTAACTAAAAAGTTTGCATCTTTGATATTTTTTGAAAGCTTTTAAACTTTTTGACAAATTACATTCAAGTATTCTTTATATTGATGTGCTAAATATTTGTTTCACTAAAGTAAAATAAAAAGTATACTCATTAGTAGAATGACAAAATAACTGGAGAGTGTAAATTAAAAAGAATCATGGCTTCTCTTTCCTATTGCATTTAAGTAATTTATATCGCCAAATAGCAGAAGTATTAAAACGTAATGTAATCCTAGTCAAAGGATTAACTAATTATATCATTTTTAATAGGGTAATTCCTTAATTACAGACCCTTGATTAAACACTTACATATAATTTTCT